AAGATTTCTATGATAATTGGGAGAATTTATATAATAGAGCCAATGAGTTCCCCGGATAGCGCAGGTGGTAGTGCGCACAACTTTGATTCGTTAGGTCGTCGGTTCGAGACCCGCCAAGGTCTGAGGTTAAAAAGGTCATTCACTCAGGGTAACGGCCGTACTTGCCAAAACCAAGTTCTTTCGGAAAGGAGACCCCTCCCAGCCCTTTATAGAAAAAGGAGTTCGTGACGTAAAACATGGTCAGTTAGGGAGTTTAATAGATTATAAAATAAACAATAACTGATTGTTAGATAGAAAGATCTAGAATATTCTAGATGAAGAGAAGAACGAAAGAGCAATAACACTATGAAGCTGCGGGTAGACGAGGCTGGAGAACAAAATTATGTAATAATTCTTCCCTGATGGCAAGTTGTACATATGTATCTTAGTAGACAGGCAATTACATATATCTCTTGTATTGGAAAATGTGTAATATTACGAAGGATTTCGGCCTTACTTTTGGATAAAGCTTTTCTATAGCTTGGCGTTCTTACAATAATAATAATAATAATAATAATAATAATAATAATAATAATAATAATAATAATAATAATAATAATAATAATAATAATAATAATAATAATAATAATAATAATAATAATAATAATAGTAATAATAATAATATTATTAGTAATGGTAAAATATTATTATTATTATTATTATTATTATTATTATTATTATTATTATTATTATTATTATTATTTTTTATTATTATTTGAAGGGATATTTTTAAAGAAATATTCTATGGCATTTTCATCTTATTATTACCTTCCATTATTGTTCAATTTAAATAGACTTTATACTATGCATCAGCCCAATGCATCCATTTTGTGTGTCAAATTAGCCCCCCTTCGAATGGGGGTGAACACAGACATATTGAGGATTGGGGATTAAGGTTGGATCCCCTTCCTAACGCTCCCAGGTGAGCTCGAACCGTATTTAGTCGATCCCCCGACTCGCTTCCTCTACCACTGAGGTACAACTCCCCTCAGTGGGACACTCTTCAAGACAGCCTCAATGAGGCACCTTTCAAGAGAGCCTCAATGAGGCACCCTTCAAGAGAGCCAAAATTAGTGCCATTTTCCTGAATCGAGAAGACAGGATGAATCGCCCCCGTCCAATCCAAATCATGCATCGATATCCAAACACTACACAATTCCAGTCAGTTCCAGTCTATTATCCAGTCCAATCCAAATCATGCGTCGATACCCAGATACTACACAAATCCAGTCAATTCCAGTCTATTATCCAGTTCTCTCATTGATTGTTGGACCTATAGGCCTGGAGAAAACTGTAATTGGGCTTGCGTTTATGCACCTGTTTGCTCTGCACTGCCTGTGAATTCCCGATGCCTCGATCAATCATTCCTCTTTCATATTAAACCTAGTTTCTAGCTTTATGTTTAACTTCATGCTCCAGCAGTGCCTGTAAATTGCGATGTCTACTTCAGTCATTCCTCTCTCATTTTAAACCTGGTCTCTAGTTTCATATACTTGTTCTTAGATCAGTCTGTTTATTACGCCTTTTAGTCATTACTGGTGGATAGTTTAGCTTTTCTCTTTGCCAGAATAACCAGTTTTTTTTTTTTTATTAAATAGTTAATTTGGATGTTGAAAGAACTAACTAATTTAGGGGGGTGCATGGTGGTAAAAAGGCTGAGAACAGCCGGTCTGTACTTCTCTACATTCTGAAATCTTATAATTTAGGTTTAGTCGTGAGTTCAGTTTTCGGGCATGACACTCTTTGACCTTATAACAATATCATTTTCCTTCCCAGCAGAGACTAGTACGCATGTATAATTCAGTTATATCATGGTTTGCAGTACGGCTATTTTCCTATTGTTTGTGCTGGGATTTTCTGTTTTATTGCCTCTCGTCTAAGACATGCAGTACTGTATATATTAATTTAATTTTATCGCCTCTTCTGTTCTGTGTTCTAATTAGCCTGTGTGTGTGTGTGTGTGAGAGAGAGAGAGAGAGAGAGAGAGAGAGAGAGAGAGAGAGAGAGAGAGAGAGAGAGAGAGAGAGAGAGAGAGAGAGAGAGAGAGAGAGAGAGAGAGAGAGAGAGAGAGAGAGAGAGAGAAATGCATTGTAGACAGGCTTACTTATATATATATATATATATATATATATATATATATATATATATATATATATATATATATATATATATATATATATATATATTATATATATATATATATATATATATATATATATATAAATATATATATATATATATATATATATATATATATATATATATATATATATATATATATATATATATATATATATTTGGGGATATTAGGTCTAAAGAAGTCAGCTGTTTAATATTCAAAAATCCCTAAATAATGTATAATTAGTGATGAAGTAATTATCCTTCCTGCTGTATCGCCTTCTTACTGACTTTTTTAAAAATGTGACACCAGGACGGACTGAGAAAATTGCCCACATCGGGCCTGGACACCAAGAAGACATTAAAAAAAAATGGCAGTTTAAGAAAAAGTCAGAACTATAAAAACAATGGGCTGAAGTGTAGTCTATACCATCACCCTTCCTCTTGATCACGAAACAAGATCAAAATTAAGGGCGCTGTCAGGAACAATCTGATCTTATCTGTTTAAAAGCTCCCCCAGGGTACACTACGTACTCCTTTTCAGTCCTCATCAACTAAATATAATTTGATGTTTTTGGTCAGTAAATCCTACGGGCCTTCCTTTGAACAAGGGCCCGTGTCAACACAAGGTTGCCTTAGATTCAACCCTATCAAGAAGATAGGTGTAAGAAGAAGCACCCTAGATCTGAGAGCTAGTAATATAAGCAGGGATGAATAAGACCTTTATAGATTTTCAATTATGAACATGAAGAAAAGTAATGACGAAACAGAACTCCCAATTTCTTATATGTAGCTTTAGCAGTTTAAATTATTTGATTCCTCCATGACAAGTTAAAGGGTTTCCGAATTCCTAAAATGTTAGTAGAATTGAGAGGATAAACTTCATTGTTCTCGAAAAAAAAAAATGGGGTTTCAGGAGAAGAAGAGAGTTACCCAGAAATTCTGTCTAGGAGGCATCAGATTTTACTAAATATTGGCTGACCACTCAGATACTCTCTGTAAATCAGAGTTAAGATTTGAAGAACGAGTGATACAAGACTAATTTCGAGCAGCAAAGGGAGATGGTGAGGTGAAGGCAGGAGAAGCATGAAGGTTAGAATCGTCGGCAAAAGTATGGAGAAGAGAGAATGGGAATTGGAGATCATTGATGAAGAGAAGGAACAGAGTGTGTGAAAGGACATAACCTTCTGGGTCACCACTGGTAACTGGGAATGAACTAGATGTTGCGTTGTCAACAACCATATATGATACTGTCAAAAAGAAAATTGGATAAAAGATAACAGAGAGAAGGGGTGGAGCTATGATCAGAAAGTTTGGCTAACAGCGCCTTGTGCTACACTCCTTCAAAATCCTTAGTATCAGTTCACATTTATGACTGATTATCTTTAGCCTATGTAGTTAAGAGATTAGTTCACTGTTTATTTTCTTACCACCCAATTTAATCGTCTTTTGTGACACGCAGGGGAGCACGGAGGAGGTATACTTTTCTATGAGTAAACATTAAATGACTATCACCGAAAGTTGTCTAAGGTAAAAAAAATATTTTATTTTTAATTTAGCACCAATTTATTTGCACCTTTTATGTAAAACTTAACAAAAATATATATAAATTTCATTCCAAATTAAGATCAAATTATGATATGAAATGATAACAACATGTTTTTATAATTTCTATTGTTATGAGTCGTTATAAGGTAAGCATGAAGAGTTAAACCTCTTTCACACGATGACACTATGGTGGCGCCACCATATGTTTACACTGATTCAAAAACTAAAACATATTGTGGCGCCACCATGGTGGCGTCGTGTGAAAGAGGCCACAGATGTAGAGAAATTAAATTTTTACTTCCAGAAATATCAGAAGCTCTTTCGGATAGATAGATAGATAGAAAGTGAGAAAGAGAGAGAGAGAACAAGTCTTGGGCAAGCTTTGAAATGAACTGTTATTCCAGCGGCACCAAGAGAGATCACTGGGCGAGTCCTTTTGAATATTCCATGATGCCTCCAAGGTGGATACTGGAAGATCTTCTTTATAGTTGGTAGATGACCTCTCTCTCTCTCTCTCTCTCTCTCTCTCTCTCTCTCTCTCTCTCTCTCTCTCTCTCTCTCTCTCTCTCTCTCTCTCTCTCTCTCTCTCTCTCTCTCTCTCTCTCTCTCTCTCTCTCTCTCTCTGTGTGTGTGTGTGTGTGTGTGTGTGTGTGTGTGTGTGTGAACGCTTCCCTTATTCACTCTCATTTACTTTATCTCCTTTCTTTTTCCTTTGTCATTCCGTGGGAAATGGGAAGCTGCTCGCGAGTTCTGGAATGAAAGAGAAAGATATGGTTAGATAAGATGGATAGGATAGATAAAATTTTTAAACTATGGATAGGTGTAGACAGGAATGAATAGATAAATGTGTCACGTGTTATCCTGCTTAGGGTTCAAAGGTACAATAGTGTAAATACAATTAATGATGAGTTTGACTTGAATATAACTTTAATAGTAAAGCTTTCATAAGATTACTTAAAGTTGCATGAATTGAAAATATAATTTGCAAAGAAAGGAAAGGTAATTTCCATTACATTAAATAACCCTGTAAGTTGTTAGGTTAGGTTAGGTCAAGTGAATTTAAATTTGGTTCTGTTTATACCTGACCTAACCTATATAAACCTAATCTAACCTAACAATTTACAGGGTTATTTAAAGAACCGGGAGCCGTTATGTTTACTTAACCCATATACTTATTATTAACACTTGTAGTCACCGTGGTTCAATCGGTAGCGTCAGCGACTCTGAGGCGTCAGGTCGAGGGTTCGCGCCCCGTCACGGTCTGAGGTTAGCAAGAGCATGCACTCAGGGTAACGATTACATCTGCCAAAACAAGTCCTTCGAAAGAAGGCAACCGTCCTAGCCCTTGGTTGAAAAGGGAGTCCGTGACATAAAACCGGAACTTATTATTAACACTTAACCTTCGCTTGATATGTAAATAGA